TAATTGATAAATAAATGTTTAACTACTATCCATCTGTGATAAAACCATAAAAAAAGGAAGGCATATGCTTTATTCCCTAATGAACTGGCGGAAACTGGGACGATTTAGTCGACCATTTCAGCTATTAACTAACCAGTTATTACTTCAAGCTGACTAACTACCACAAAGGGCTCACTCTCTGCTGGTTCTCTGCATTTTGTTGGCTGACTGAAAGCAGCCAGTTGGCCCCATGTTGACCAAGTGGTCGTTGCCCCAGCAACCAACATTTACAAACAGGTTTCCCTCAACGCTTTTTGTACGTCATCGGCGTTTATCGTTCCCGTTCTCGTTTTGCCTTTGCCTCTGACTCTGCCTCTGCCTCTACTCTGACTTTGCAACAGCCAACTGAGGCGGCCATAAACAATGCATCCCACGGCATAACAGGAAGAGGAAATGGCAGCAGCAGGAGAAATAAAAACATAACCACCATCAAAGGATTCGCCTCACTCCTCTTCTAATTGCGAGTGTGCCAAACCTAATTGCTTGCAAATATTTTAAAACTCAAAAAACCCAGCAGCTGCTGCCCTTTGGCATCTGAAGAATTTCATTATATATATTTTATTTTCATTATGCATCAAAAAATCCGGGGGGGAAACTAATTTCGTGTGCACGGCCCGTTGAAATCTCGAGTTGAGCATCAATTGCGCATCGAAATGTTTAAGCGTAAATATTATTACCATTAAGATTTGCACCCTTGCACTGGCGTTTGATGGCGAAATTGGAATACTTGATCATGCTCACTTGAGTCTAATTCGCAATTTGCTAGCAAACACAATTTGCATGAAAGTTAATCAAGAGTTTAGCCGAGGGAGAGTGGATTGTGATGGCAGCTTCGCAGTTACAAACTGAGTGCAGACACCCCAAAGTGATCTGTGCAAGATTCGAGGCAGAACTCGTGTACTCTCCTCACATACTATAATTGAACAATTAAAGTTAATTTACCATGTACCAATGATCCCTACTCGATCCCTCGAACAGATAAGTATCTGAAAGATGCTTCCGGCTTGCCAACAATAAACCAAAATGTCGACAGCTGTCAGCATTTGAAAATTCAGCAAAAATGGAATTTTTTTTTTTTTTTAGCTTCCTTTGCAAAAAGAGTCTGTTCGCTTATTTATTCGCTGGGCCAAGGTGAGGTTTATTATGGCAACGGATTTTGCTGAGGGCAGCACATATCCAGGTGCCAGGTGCAAACACTGCACATGTCTGTGTTTACTCAATGGCAATGGCTATCTTCTACCAACTTTGTTTGGCCGTTCAATATAAAAAAGAAACAAAAAAACGAGAACCAATCGATTTGCATGGCAACGCACAAATTGGCATGGACTATGGACGCTCAACACCCTGAAAACAGAAAACAGAAAACCGGTGAGAGCTGATGAGCTGGCGAACGGAAACGGTTGATTAGGGGTTCCACACTTGGTCTTGGTCTTTGGGCGGGACAACGGGACGACAGGGTTTTAGGGTTAGGATCAGGGGTTGTTTAGATCGAGGGGCAAGGGCGAACCGCTCGCGGCTTGTTTGTTTGCATCTCTTACATTGTACTCGCCCCAGGAACCAACTGCCTTTGTTTGGGTTACCTTTTTAGCTTGTAATTTATATATATTTTGTATACTTCGATTGTATTTTGCCGCTTATCAAAATAAGAATTATGTTGAGGAAGAGGAAGGGGAAGAGGAAGGGCAAGGGGTTTTGGTTCAGGGGTGTGGGCCTGGGAGTTTTTCAGGGGGCGCAGCCCATTTGGCATGCTCTCAGGATCCCTTTGTTTGCGTATGTTTGCTGTTCACTCGTTCCCTTGCTATGTTTCATTTTTGTATTTCTCATTTTTTAACCATCCCACCCAAAAGCCCAGACCGTGTCTGATGTGTAAGGAACAAGGAACAGCCCTCTGCCGCGTTTTTGCACGGGTTGTTTACGCCCGTAGTCGCAGGCCCAAACCCGGAGACCATCAAACGGTCCGTGGAACGTTTTCAAGTTGCGGAAGCAATTGCGCGTGCTGAAGTTGTCGAATGCCTCAGAAACTCGAATGGGAATGGAAATGTGAAACGTGAAATGCGGCACAAAGGCGGCAAGGAGCAGTCCTCGTCGTCAGTGCATGTACGCCCCCTTTTTCCGGGTATACTATACGTATACCTATGGCAAAACCCCCTTGGCAACCTCCCGCAACATTTGACTCGGCTCGTTGGCGCATTTCAAAGCACTGGACGAACATTTTTGTTTGCTCAAGCGCTTTAAATTAGAGCGTGGAAAAGTGTGAAACTTCTGGCAAATACTGGACCTCAAACCCATATGCCCTTCTGGTTTATGGCGAAAAAAAGTGAAGCCTTTTCTGGATTTCCATGGAGCGTATCCAAATCGCTGCGTTGAGTTTTTATAGCTTCTCGTAGGGCACGCCTGGTTTTTGACCAAAGAAGGCTCACTCAATGTCGTGGCCATTAAAGATTGCACAAGCAAGCTCACAGATACAAAGCCCCGAGAATTCAGATAGCTATGAAATACATTTTGGCCTGGCAGGGTGTGTCCGCGAGTCGATTCTAGGTAATAAGTAACTATCGGATTAGTTACACTAATTGCTTTTCGGCTGCCGCTCAAATGACGCTGCAATCTTGTTAAAGGAAACCATTATGACCGCCCGAGGGTCAGAGTTCAGGTAAAGATAGAGATCGGCAAAGAACAGCAGCACCTGTACGGGATTAACCTTGTGAGAAGGTTCTATTGTACCATCTACCTGGGCACTATTTAATTTTATTGTTTTATTAGCTTTTTCTCTCTTTTCAAGAAATTCTGGAAGTGAAAAGAAACGAAAAAAATTTGTATACATCATTTGCACTTGTCCGACCTGGAGTTTCCCAAGAAAATTGTAATTCTTAAAGGTGAAAGAAAACGTTATTTTCCTGCTCAATTTGTACAAATTATTCAACTCGAGAAGCAAATAAAATGGTGATAACATTTGCACTCTTATAATCAACATTTTTACAGATTAGTGAAAGATTTCGTTGAAATCTTTCGGGCATAGAACAAATGTATATTTTCCAAATAATCAAATTGACCTTTAAGTTTTATATATAGCAATTTGTTCAATTAACAAAAAAACAAAAGATTAAAACTGTTTCGTAATCGGCAGTTTATTTAAAAAAAGCAATCTTGCGTTGCAAAACATAGTTAAGGGAAGGTATAATAGTAAATACTGCCGGAGTCATACATATATAAAAATAAAGCATTCAAAAAGCAATATTCTCTTTTAAAACTAGACGAATTCTTGAGTTGTAGAAACTTGCGAAAATGTATTTATTAGTTTTTCTATTATTATTTATTTAGACCCTTTTTTCAAGTCTTGTTAAAGGGAAAAGAGCAAACAAAGGGATACATTGCAACCCTACTCCAAAGAAGGTGAAAAGAGCTATCAAAAGAGTAAAAACCAATCTTGTGTTGCGAAACTTAGCCCTCGAACAGGTTGTGGGGGAGGCAAGCTAGCTAGCCCGCTCGTTTAGTAGCACAACAAGCGGAGTAAACAAAATAAAGGTGACGCCTGAGTGAGTCACGGTCACTCACACTTGGAGCCCGTTTGAAAATATTCAGTTAAAAGCTAAAGAAAAAGCGGGACGGACAGAGAGACGGGCCCAAAGAGCGGGAGCGGAGAGTCGAGAGAGAGAGCCAGAGAACAGCGCCCAAACTAGCGAATGCTAACTTACCCACCGTAAACCAAGTTAACAACTTACACATAACTAAAAAAAAAAAAAAAAAAAACGCATAAAACTAGCGAAACTTACCCGTTGGCAGAATGGCATTGTTCTCGCGCCGCCAGGTGATTGTGGGAGTGGGGTAGCCACTGGCGTAGCATTCCATTTGGACCTCGCTGCCCTCGCTGGCCACCACCGATTGCGTGGAGTTGTCGGAGATGACCGGAGGTCGCCGCACGGACAACTTCACATTGGCACTGACTTTGTGGACAACCGAGATGACGACCTGGCAGGTGTAGGTGCCCGCATCGGTCTCCTGGATGTCCTTAATCTGCAGCTTGTAGGTGGAAGAGTTCGGGTCGTAGCGCAGCGAGAAGCGCGAGTCCTTGATGACCAGCGTGGAGCCAGTGGACAGGAAGACGGGATCGCTGTCCGTCTTCAGGAACAGCACGTTGTACTCTTTGGCATACTGAACGGAGCAATCGAACTCCACGGTTCCGCCAATATCCTTAATCTGCTCCTGCGTGATGTAGGATATGGTCGGTGTTCGCTGGGCCCTCGTCTGGTGGATGATAAGGACCAGGAGCAGGCTGCTCCACACGTAGTTCAAGATACTCAAGCGCCTCATCTTACAAATTGACTCTTTTTTTAGCACCACACCCTGGAAGCGCGCGATATATCTTTCTATCTTGATCTTTTCTCAAGAGAATTGAGAGCGCCGAAAATGGAAGAGAAGACACACCTATCGCCGTTTCTTTCTGTTGCGCGGCGAGCGCGGATGCTGACAACACAGACTCAACGACACCTGTCTTCTCGCTCTAAGCTGGTTTCAGACTTGCTCTCTCTCGATCAGTCACGAGTTTTACGGCCAAGACGGGAAAGCGCGTTAGAGAGTAAACCGCACAGTTCGAAAGTCGCGATACGAATGAATCCAGGCTTTGAAAAGTGCGCCCTCAAGAGCGCAAGATGAGCATTCAATATGTGCCTAAATAAGGCAGAACGGCGAGTCGGTCTATCGGTGAGGAACTTTACTAAGCAGTGGCACAAACCATGTAGCAGTGTAAGGAACCAAAGAACAGGTGGCAGTACTAATCAAATGACGAATGGCATCCTTGAATTAATTTGAATGTTGATTAATTTCAATTTGTAACAATCGAATTTATAAATTATACTTGTGGCACCTAAATAAACCTACCGGTGATTGTTTAAAATGCTTTTATTTATTTAGTTTTACATTTTGTAAATTATTTATTCGTCATATTTTAAATTAAAAACTCTCCATTTGTGATTGTTTAAAATGCCTTTTTATTTAGTTTTCTCTTTTGTAATGTTATTCAGTAGTTATGTATAAGTTCTATAAATGTCAGATTTTCTCTATCTCGTGCTCTATGCAAATACGATTATATGGTATAACTTTTCTTGTATGAATGCATATTATAAATGGATAATATATATAAATCGTGTTTAGTTCTTCATTTTAGTGTTTAACATTGGGTTTTTGTGTGTGGCTCAAATAGTTGTCGGCTTCATCGTATCTCAAGGTGTATAATGTTAAGCATTTAGAATTTGATTTTAGGTTCTCAACAAGTTGCTAGTTATTAAGTACATAATATGTAAATGTCTATATCGTATTTGTATTACGCATTACGTGATTTGATTTTCAATTTGTTAAGTTTCATGGTAATAAATAACCGCTGGCGCGGGCGCTTACAAAATCTAAAAGCCAATTACGAAATTGTGGAAACCTAAAATTAAAACGCCATATCTCATATTTGCCCCTTCCTAGCAGTGCGATCGTAAAAGTTTAAACGAGATTCAATGGATTTGCGACTTCAAAGAGCAGTGCAACTGCAAGTCTTTTTTATCAGATATATTTATATATACCTTGCTTCAATATCCATATAGATCCATATTTATGTATGCTTACATACATATTACTGGGTAGATGCCAATCCTCAAAGTTTAAATTATAATGATTAAGGTAGTGTAGGCTACGGCTCAATAAAATAATCAATAAATAAATTGCTCTAGATCAACATATCAGTTAAGGTAAAGTATGGTAAGGTAAAAAGCTAAGCGAGAGTTCGTCTTCTGTCCATCTGTTCAGCTGCCTCCGGAAATTCCCAGTCCTCCGGTATTCAGATCCTAGTTCTTTTGCGAATTAAGACTCCATTGTGCAAACTGCTCCTGCCATTGGCTATTCGCATTTGCCTGTGAAAACAGATACAAATCTAGTTAGAATCAATTTATTGAAAGAGTATGTTTTTGTAATCGTACTCAAGTTAAAGTCTCAGGCATGCAAAGGCAATCGAAAAGTGGCAATCACTACACTAGCTACAGGATATAGACAGATAACTATAGTTTATTTTTGTTTTATCGAGTGCATGTACAGAGGAGAAATATAGATAAGGATAGAACAACGGCAAAAACAACATCTAGATCAACAGTGAGCAGGATTTCGTGGCGAAACCCTTTACCTTTTCGTTCCACTCTTGGTTATACGATTGAGATTCGTCGAAATCTGAAATTGATCAAGTTTGCGGTAAACATATGTTGTAACATTAAAGGCACAAGTCAAAGTCAGACAATTTATTCGAATCCGTTTGAGTCAAGCAGCCAACGTGAATCTAGAGACTAACTAGGATGAACTGACTGAGATTGAGATTGCGAAATAGAGAGAGAGACGATTCAGAGTGCAGCGATGATGATGAGCTATAGATATATAGTACTGCTATTTGAGATAACTGATAACTATATAGATAGGACCCCGACTAGAGATCTACCTGCGTTGAAGAGTGGAGTGGAGAGTCTTAAGTCGAGCGAGCTAAAATGGTCTAGAGGCAGTAGATTTGGCATATTTTACCTGATCGGAGAGTATATATTGGTAACCTACGACGAACACATTATATATTCAGACTATACTTCATGATATAAGCGTGCATGATCAGCTGCAGTTCATCGATTGTCTCACCGATCTCGTGCAGCGCCGGAAAGCCGGCCTGGTCATCATCGATGAACAGTTCCGGGTGATTTCGGTAGCCCAGAATGCGGTTCACCTGCGACAGTTCCTCGCCCTGGCCGAAAGTGTAATCAAAGTGGTCCTCTTCGGAGGGGCCAGTGGTGTGTAATTGACCACAGGTATAGGGAGCTGCAGCTCCCTCGCACTCAAGATCCTCGTCGGTGCGGAACACCTCCTCGTATTCCCCGCACTCCCCGCACTCGCAATCGTTGCACTCGCACTGACTCGAGCCTTCAGACTCGCCACCCTCGATGTGTCGGAATTCTTAATTTATTTTGGTAGTAGTTTTTTTGTTTTTGGATAGGCAGAGTCCCCCGATTTAACATACAGAAGAAATTAACGAAAATTATAAGAAGGGCAAACGAAACGAAACGAAACCGAAACGTGTTAGAAGCTCAATATTTGCAGCATTTTTTCTTTTGCCGTCTATTGGGGTAATAATCTAAAATCAAATCAAATCGAGAAAAAAAAAAACGAAAAAGTGGTCGCTTTAGAGAAGTGGGAACCAACCAACGGCAGGAGGAAGAGGAGGATAAGATCTGCTGCCCGGGACAACAACAACTTACCCAGTGGCATGATGAAGCGAGCCTGCGGCAGTGTGCTCGTCGGCTGCTGGGGCCCCTGGTAGGCCCTTCCCCTTCCTGGAAACGTGGCGAGACCCAAAAACAATACGCACACCAAAAATAAGACACGTTTTAAGCACAGAGAGTGAAACATTCCGTTTTGGAGCAGGGAGTGGTTGGTGTTTGGTTGGTGGCTCTAAAAGCGGTGCTACTACGAAAACTACGTGCTGGTGCAGGCAGTGCACATCACCACATTCACGAGCATCTTATTTTGGGAAGCAGGAGCAGCGGCAGATGCAGTTGCAGTTGCAGTTGTAGATTTGGAAGCGAAAAGCGAAAGGATATGGGATATGGAGTCCAACGATTTACCTGCATTCAGGTCGCTGACCATGTGGGAAATGGCCGACGTTAGATGGTCGGCGGCCTCATTGAGCTCCGCATCGGGATTCGGATTCGGATTCAGATTCGCATTCGGATTCTGAATCGGATTGAGGCTGGAAATGGCATTGACAGTGGTGGTGCGCATTGGCGGTGGCGCTGCGAAGGCGAAGCGATCAAGAAACGAGTGTGTTTTTTTTTTTTTTTTGGGTGTGACAGCGTGTGTGTGTGTGTGTTTAGGTGATTTCAGTTTTGTTGGGGTGTGTGTATTTTTGCATCGTTGAGCGGAGTGTATACGATTAATATCTGTCTGAACCCAGGCCTAAGCTCTCTCGCGTTAACCAATTGCACAGGGAATCTCAAATTTGCATATGACCGAACCTAACTGGAAAAGTATCCCAAATGGGCAAATCCCTACCACTTCCAAAACCCTACTCACTTGCACTTCCGTTGGCGGCGAAGGCGCTGCGCATATCGCTGCTGATCTGGTTGAGCTGCTCCAGCTGGCTCTGGCTGAACGGACCATGTCCATGTGCCTGCTGCTGCTGTTGCTGTTGGAGGAGTTGCTGCTGGGTGGCCCTGACTCCACCACCACCACCTCCTCCTCCTCCTCCTCCCCCGCCGGCCATGGGATGCTGCTGCATCTGCTGGGCGTGCAGGGCACTCATGGGCGAGGTGCCCAGGATGCCAGCTCCGCCGGGCATGGGTGGCGACTTGCCGGAGCGAGGACTCGAGTTGGGCGTTGAGCGGGGCGAGGCGGTCTGCTGGTTCTTAAGCATGCGCATCAGCCCCTCCAGCTGCTCCATCAGCTGGCGTCGCGAGTCCTGCAGGGCGCCCAGGTGACCCTCCAGCTCTCCCTTCCGCTGTCTCAGGGCCCGCAGCTCGTTGATCAGCGCCGGATTCTCCGGGGCCATCTGCTCCGTCTCCTGCTGACGCCTCAGACGCGCTATCTCCCGCATGATCTCCTTGTTCTTGGACTCCAGCTGGGCAATCAGCTCGCGCTGGGCTCGCGAATTATCCGTGCCAATGGGGGTGCCACTGTCCGGCAAGTTGGAGGGCTATAAAGGATACACAATTTTTTATAAATAATAATTAAATATTTAGAACTTTTTTTAAATGATCCAGGGTACAACAGTTTTGGTCACCGCAAAACAAAATCAGAGCAAGAACGTTTACTAAGATAATTGTTCAATTTTTAAAAAATGTATGTAGTAATGTGTATTTAATCTATTTATATGCAGCTACGGTCAAAAAAATAGTAGTGGGAATCTGTAAGAAGCTCAAAAGGCCCTTTAAGGCATAGTAAAACTTTTCTTTTAATTTATCTTAATGCTTTCTACCAATAAACAAAATAAAATTAAACTTATTTTTTTAACAATATGTTTCACAATAAATATAATTCAAATATTAATACCTATCGTAACTGTAGTGCTTGATACTTGCTTCATTTAGTTTTGAGTTTAGAAAGAATCTTTTCAAAAGAGGAAAGTTGTGTAAACTATTTTTGATTGCTATTTCCTTAAGTTCTATTCTATTACTTTGACCGCAACTGATCTTTTGAGGTAATATGATTCATCATATTCAAGATTTTATTAGTTTTCATAGAAAAACTCTCGAAAAGATGCATATTTTTATGCGCTGCCACTGGTCGTAACATCCTAAACCAATAGTTTAGCTTTTGCTCCTACCGCTCTGTTCTCCTGGGCCAATCTGGCGGCATAGCGGGCGATCAGGCGGTGCTCCTCGTCGTTGGCGGATGCGGCGGCCACGCGGGACATGGTGGTGGTGCCGGCGGTGCCGCTGGCGCTGTCCAGACTGCGGCCGGTGGCCCGCGAGTCGAGCGTGCTGGAGCGATCGAATAGGCCGTGGTGCTGGCCCGGTATGCCCGGAATGCCCGGATGCGGATGCGGGGGGCCGTGGTGGCCATGTACGAGGCCCGAGGGGTCCGAGAAGCCGTTGTGCGAGGGCAGCGGCGAGGGCGGCACGATGTGCGACAGGTTGAGCGTCTTCTCCGGCTGGTCGGGAAAGCGCGGGAGCACCTGCACCGTCTTCTCGGGCACACAGCGGAAGCTCTTGCGCAGCGAGTGGCCGATCTGTTTGCTGGGCGACTTGTAGCTCGAGTACTCCTTGACCTCGTGATCGTTCTGGTGGTTCAGCGATGTCTTGCCGTGCCAGAAGCACTCCTGACACAACTGGTAGGCGTGACACCGCTGACAGCGATAACGAAACCCGGTGAAGTTTTCCTTGTGGCAAACAGAGCAGACAGTCGGATGCACAATGGTCTCCACGGTGGCCAGCCGGTGCACCAGCGGCAGCCAGACGAGACAGGACGGCCCCGGCTCGGACATCAGCGTGGCCATAAAGTCGTTCACCGTCACCTTGTTCTCGGCCGGGAAGATCTCCTCCTCGAGCCCCTCCTTGTAGTGGAATGTGGGCGACTCGTACACGGCCGCCGGCAGGGCCAGCACTTCGCGCAAGAACTCGCCCAGCTTCCAGGCCACCAGCTGGCCAGCGCCGTCCGAGATCTGCGAGAATATGTCTGTTGGTATGGAAAGGAATGTATTGAGATGACTGCCATTGGTACTTCACACAGACAAAAAAAGCATATGTAAAATCAACCTGTTAACTGTTAAAATAATACAATACTATACTATACTACAAATGAAAAACAAATAGTTTTTGTACTATTTTAATTATTAAAATACTATTCTACCAGCCTACAAAATAAATAGAACATCTTTGAAAATAGTAAAAGAAATAAATTGTCTATGTTGATTTCACATATGCCCTTTTTTCTGTGCGTTGAATGCTACTCACATCTGAGTTTGTCCACCAGTTTGCCGGAGCACATGGTGGCCAGAGCCACCTTGATGGAGAACACGCGTATCTTGCCCGAATTATCACTGCAATGGAAAGGAGTTTTGGCTATTAGATGGCAATGTTCTGGAGAAGATTAGTTGCACCCACCTTGTGTAGGCAGCCAGCAGCCAGTTGAGCAGCAGACCCGCTTTGGAGTCCACGGGCACCTGTTGGGCGGTGGGCAGGCGCTTGTTGAGGTTATGGTAGAGCGAGGAGACCAGAGTTTCCAGCCTGGCCACGCTCACCTCGCTCTGCGGCTCCAGGGTGTTCAGGCCATTCTCGCGGAACGCCTCGATCACATTCCATATGTCCACCAGATGGAGGTTCGTCGACTTCTGTATGTAGCGCAGCTTGGAGGCTGTGCGGTAGGAGGCAAATCGAATGGAGTCGAAGGTCTGCAGACGCAGGTCCTGCAGGATGGCCACACGCGGCTCCAGCTCCATTCCTGATGCTCTGATGCAACGATTTGCCTGCAATTTAATTAAAGCGTATATGCATTATAGCAGGGATAATCATAAATAGTAATAGTTGTGCAGCTTAGTAACAGTTCTAAGTGGGTCAGTGGTTAGGGAAGCTCTGTGCATTGTGTACTTAACAGCCACAGCAGTGGGGAATAAGTTCCCTCCTAACTTCTACACCCTTATGCACACGTCCTATTGTGTTTGGCGTCTGGCTTCGACTAGCTCGACTGCCGATGCACTGAGGATTTTAAATATGAAAAGGTAGTTATCGGGGGGTGCCACAGAAATAATTTAAAAAAGGTGTTTAAAAGTATGCAGTGAAACAATTAACTGTGTCTATGGAAATAATCCCACGGCCTTTTGGACTGAAAATATATGGTTGCCTACTTTTAGACACCTTTTAGGTAATATCAAAATTCTAGTTATTTCTAGAAACACCTTTCTTAAGCCTTGATTTCAGATTTTATTATTTTTAGCATGTATAAAAGAAGCGCAATTATGCAAAATTTATACCAAATATATATATATATATATATATATATTGGGCTATTATTGAAACTTTTAAAGATTTAAAAAACTACGACAAATAAAATTCACTCTAAAATTGACAACCCATTATTATGTTTATTTTCTACATCAAGATATGTCTATCAAAATAATAAGTAGATAATTTTTTGCAGTGTGATGCCATCGTCTGGTGTTGATGCCGGTGCATCCCTGCTGGCGGCTATCGCCGGAAGAGGAAGTGAGCAATTCAGGGAGACAGCCGGGAGTTGAACCGCCGCTCATCCCGCAGCTAGTTACTGAAACAAAGCGAATTTAATAATCCGCCTACGCGCAAAAAGTTTTAGCTCTCGCATAAACCGCTTTGCCAGTCCAATTAATCGGCAAGTATGCCCCGCAGGCTCCCCTTTTCTTCCGGTGGAGCATCCTCGTCATATCCTTGAAGCATAATTCCACGCCAGAAGGGTGTCGCCAACTTCAGAAGTTGCTGTCACATCACGCTTCTCGTTCCCAAGCTTTTTTTCGCAATTGATTTTCCATCTTTCACGAGTGGGAGAAAAGAAAAAAAAAAATGTCCTTGGAAAAAAGCAAAGTAGACATCTCTGAGTCATCATACGAAAATAATCAGAGATCTTTTCTGTGGAGCTCTGGTTTCCACTTCTGCCGCACAATGCCCACATATGTCCTGCCATGTCCTTTCATCATCCAGAGCTGGCCAATTTAAACAAGCATTCTCATTTAAATGCCGCTTCCTTTTTCCTGCCGCTGCCCTCTGTCAACTAAATGATAGTGTTATTACACAAGGCGGGCAAAATGCGGTGAGAGGGGGTCACCCAAACTGAAATTCAATTTACAAACTGCAAACTGTGAATGGAACTGGAGCTGAGATGATGAAGTTGATGGCGGAATGAGGGATGTACTGGGAGAAAAACATGGTTAACTTAAAAATTCGAAGGACTTTATAAGAAAGTTTGCAAACAGCGAAGATGTTGTTTTTAAAATATCGGAATAGATTTGGAACACATTTTGGTAGCCAATAAAAAGTCCATAGAACAAGTTTTCAAAATCAATGTTTTTAAATACAACTGATAATTTGCAAAACACAGCTGAGAACACAGTGCTTTTGCATCTTTTTCAAAAACTGTTGATAGGTTTCATACTCCAACATATTAAGTTAACAAGTTAATATAATAGCTTCCAATTTGCAAAAGTAACTGATAAATACTTAGTGGTTATCCTTCTTGCATTTGCAGGATATTTTTTCGCAGTGTGAAGATGGAGGGCCGAATGTTTGGAGTTTGAGGATGATGAGTCACATGACGTAGACCAGCGTTCCTCTGGTTTTCCACCCACCACTTGGCCACCCGAAAATAGAGCAACAACAGCCGTTAGGACATGTATAAATATGCGCACACACACAGTGGCACCCCATTCACACACACACACACCCAAACACCCACACACCCGCACTCACAGGGGCACACACTCAAAAATTCTTGGGGAACGAAGCGAATGCTCTGCAAACATTTGCGCTCAAAAGTATGCAACAAGACCTGGCTGAATAAGTTTAGTTTGGCCAGGAAAACTGCGAATGAGGAGTGCGGTGGATGACGATGAGAATGAGGATGGGAATTCCGCATTGCCAGCGGCTGCTGCAGTTTGGATGCTACTGCGATTCGCCCCGAGCGTTGACATCCTGCTGCTCTTCGCATGAGCATCTGCCAAGTGGCCACCCACCGATTATACACACACGAAAAAATGATTTAAAACTGAAAAACCATACATTTTAATTCAAAATCTCTTTAAAAATGTGTGATACGTACAAGGCAAACAATTACAAAAGACTTTTAAAATTAATCAAACCTTTTTTGACCAGAAAGAGAAAGCTAGCACGCTTCTTAAAATAGTTCCATGGTCAATTTATAAGAAATATGATCTAAATTTGGTTAACATCTCATACTTTTCCAACTTTCTTACTAACTCAATTCACTAGCTTAAGAAATAAACTTTAAGAGTAAAACCATACTGATAGTCTCTAAACATTTTTCTTAGTGCACATAAAGGGGGTTAAGGAGGCTGTGGGACGTGTAGCCCTATTCGTGTCACTCAGAGATCTCTGCACCAAGAATTCTCCTTTTTTGCCGTGTCGACAGCATATTAAATTCCACTGCAAAAGTCCCAAACACCACCTCGTTCTGCGGGGATTCCCCCAATTGCAACCCTCAATTGTTGGCAGCTTTTTGTTTGTTGCGGTCAGCCAGCATCTCAATTCATGCAGATTTCTTACTTGTTTTACATATTCGTTTTGTCCATTGTTCTTATATTTTTACTGGCATTTACATATTTCCATTTAAATAACCAGCCAGCTGGGACAACTTTTCTAATTGGAACTTCTGCTGGCGACACTTTTGAAGGGAAATTGGCGAGAGGCTTTAAGTTTTGGGTCATTAAACTCAAGTTTGTATGCCCGAAGTTTCAACCTCATTACCGGTAAACTGCATTTTTGCGATTGAACTCAGGCTTAATTTAAGCCTCAAATGGGAAATGGGTCGTACTGAATGATGTGATACAGCGGAGGCAGAGCAAAAACCAAACAAATTTATACGTTGTATAAATTTTATTTAAATGCGAATGTATTTTAAAAAATGAGGTCAGCATTTATCGACAACAGTACGAGGCATTTTGTTTGGAGAACTCCGAATGCAAAACATTTGTATGCTGTTAGATAAGCCTTGGGCGGCTTGCAATATTGTTAATTAAATGGAAAAGAGAAAACAAGTCTATCAGATGGAACACATATATCAATGTTGAGACAACATAAGCCCATTTAACTATTGGTTGTGTTAAAAGGCCTAATAAACCAGTTGTTGGATAGATAACGACTTAAAATAAAAGGTACAAACTATATTTACTTTAAGCTTGTCTTTCCCTGGTAAGTTTGTGTGAATTTGGTCATAATATTCCCTTTGCAAACATAAAACATAAATCAACAAAGAAATAAATCCATTTAATTAGCATATCAGCAAATGTTTTCCTTTTGCAGCAGGAACTTTAAGTCAGCAGTTGAAATAGCCAGCCATCCGACCATCCATCACCTGCATCAGTGACCCCAAGTGAACCCAAAATATAACTCCAGGGACAGGTAAGTCAGCCAGAGCTCACGTTGATGCTCAATTTACTAACTGAGCTCAAAGAAAAAAAAAGAAATAAAGAAAAGCGACGAGCAAAGCGGAGAAACCGCATGGATGGAATATGAAAAGCAACAAGGACGAGGACGATAGCGTGTCCAGGACCTGCATCAAAGTTTTCCCCACTTCCACATTTTCCGTTTGTTGTGCGCTTTTCCCGCAAAGCAGAAATTAAACAAGTTTCAGAGCTGGAAAGTCCTCCGTGTACTGGGATTCCTGCCGAGTCCTGTGAGTCCTGTGTTTTCGGGGTGCTGCTGTTTTATGCCATTTGCGTGCCAGGGAAATCAAAGCCAAACAACCGACTCCAACGATGATAACTGGGCACATAATTTGCAATTTCAGAGCAGTGAATGGGGGAGAGATCTGGATTTATTTCGTGTTAATTCCGACTTTTCCGTTTTTGCAGCAACAGCAGGACAGCAGTACAGCAGGAGATTGCATGTCTGGCGGAATTGATCAGCACAAATCGCCAGTCGAGGCAATAACCTTTTGTCCAGGTCCGAGGCTCGAAAAATGGCCAAAGGTGAGGCGCACTGGAACTATCCTAGTTAATTGAAAAATTGAGCCAACAGTGAATGTGCATATGCTCCATTTGGCATAATGGATGGGCCTGCAAAGGAAGTCGCGTAACTCGGATGGGCTCACTTATGAACAGGGGGAAAAATCATCGTACTGTATAGGTATCAAGGTATGTAGAGGTACCAATAAGAATGTTTAGCTATACAGTGAGAATAAAAGGACTTAATAAGTTAAGTTACAATAACCTCTAAGGTAATGTAAAAAAGTAAAATCACTATGGTTTTTAAATGACTCCATAGCCCGTACGGACTAAAAATATATTATATATGATATTAACTTGCATTAATAATTAAGACCCTCAAGATGATTAGAGGCAACTTAGAATTTATTGCTCTTCTAGGTCATGAAATAAAACTTGTTCAAACATATCGCTGCTTGAAGTGGCCCTGCTGCTATGTCAAAGGGAATACTTTATGATGACACATTTTCATAATATTTTTTCTCACCGTGCTGCAGCCATCAAAGCCAAACAAAATTAGTCCATGAAGACAACAAAAGCTGGGCACAAACCAGAAATAGAGAGCTCCTGTTGGAAGGAAGTGGTGTCCCAGTTAGCCGAGGCAACTGTCATCAGCCTCGTCAGAATGCGCAAGCGGAGTAATTATGTGTACAGCTCGTAATGGGAGCATGCAGGAAGGGAATGGGAATGGCAGTAGGAGTGGGAGTGGGAGTGGGCAAGGGATGGTGGTGCCTCTGGGAGCGTGGCAGGTTTCTGTGCCACTTACTACAACTCAACGGGCAAAGGCAAGAGCGAAATGCACATTGCGCGGCACCACAAAGCGCCATTAGTTGTCGCCGCTCAAGGATTTCCAAAGGGATTGAACCACCAAGGAGGCGGCAGGCAGGTGGATTCTACTGAAGTGTATACCAAAGAGCTTAAGAAACGTAGCCGAGTCGCATTGTTTGAAGTTGTAGTGGCAGCTGACGCACTCCAAAGGAGGTTTACTCTGGCCATATAATCCTCAGATCTTGGGGATTTATCTGTCCGTTCCTTATGCGCCAAAGCAGGTGGCTAAGAAAGTGCTGACAGCAATGCAGACGTCGGCTGGATCGTGTTTTCCCACAGCCACCTGGCCAAGGTCAGGGTGCAGATAAAGCCCCCTCAGTTTACGTTGATAAACGAAGAAGACTTGCATTGTCTGACTTTGATTGCATTAAACTTAAGCTGTCAGCTCAATGGGATATAAATAGGCAGGCAGGTGGGGAGTATAGAAATGTTTCCTTTTATACAAACTATTACTGTTTATGCAACTTACTAAATCATTCATTTTATACAACTCAGTTTTTTTAATTAACAACCTTGTTCTCAATTATTAATCGTATTTTAGAAAGTAAATTGGCAATATTAAAAATGACCTTTAGAATTGTGATGAAAATGTGATATAAATCACTATTCAGTTTGTTGCTTAGTTATGCCATTGTTTTCTGCAAATACAATAGTAGGAAATAGAGCGAAGAATACACCTGAAGGTTAATTAATATCCGCAGGTATGAACTACATTATTCATTACTACATATGGCAACCCTCAAAGCACTTACGCATTTGTTAAATGACCTGCACCTGCAACTGCAACTGCAATCGACACCCAACGCCCACACATTAATGAATGCAACTGGCCCACACTATACCAGGCATTCGAGTTACAAATTCCTCTCGCAATATGCAAATGCAAATTCTCAGCTAAGCAAGCGGGAGATATGCAATCAGAGACCTGAGGTTAATAGACACACAGAGAATCGAACGCGGGGTGTGACAACCGTAACCATTTCGACAGCAGACATGATCCATCGATGACAATCCCGTGTATAATTAGCACAGATGAGCAAACGATTCGCAGTAAATATTTTCCACTTTATCACCAGAGTCACGCCCTATTTTTGGCACATGAACGTGCGCTTGGCGGCGGAAAAGCAAGGAAAAAATGAAAACTAAGGCCAGTATACAAAGGCGAGAATTCGGAACTGCAAACTGCAACACTTGTTGGTGGTGAGCTAATTGGCCAAACGAGTCGAAAATCAGCAGACAGAACGTCGCCCAAAGTGTGCCAAAGTGTTTTGCACAAAGCCACTAAAAAGTGGGGGGGGGATAAATTTTTCGGGTGTGCAGTATGTTGTAACCGAATATGGGAAAAAATTCTAGTTTGGCTACTGCCCACGCACACGGAATCTCTTACGAAACACAAGGGCAGCCCGGCGCAGACATTAAAATAAACATTTAGTGTGGGCAGATTTTCTCATTTCATGATCCATTTGGATGGCGTTCCACTATCTAGCAAGCGTTGATAACGATCCCCAAAGCAAACAGACCGTAGCCGATAAGATATATTCAGCTAAGCCGGGGCGAAACTCGTCTCGGTGCTGGAAAATTGCTTGATTTTTTTTGCACGGTGAAACTCTTGGTATTTCAACGACAAAAGCCAAGTCAATCAACTGAAACTGCAATCGAAATGGGAGTGGAAATCGAATCCCAGTCGAAGAGGTTGCGGCAAAAGGGGAAACGACAAAGAAAGCCCCACAAATCAATGCAGGCCAGGGCTGAAGTGGTCAAGAGAACCCCTTTTCGTGCCCCCAGCCCCCCATCATATGTAAACCGTACGGGGCAGTCTGCAAGTCTGGTGCCTTTCTTTGGCGTTTGTGCTTACATTTTGCATAAATCTATAATGAGATTTGAAATGCAACTGTCACACATAATGGCATTGTCCACGACGACTTTGGCCAATCAATGCGGCTTAGAAAAACGCCACAATGATGATGTAACCATGTTACAAGTATCAGCAATCTCTGGATAGCAAAGAACCAATTGCAAATTGAATATGTAATAAAAATTCGTATAAAAATCGCACACGTGGATTTCCAATCACTTATGAGAAACCCATAAACAAGCAATTAAAAATAAACAAACACCAAAGCCACAAATGCTTTTCAAATATATTAAATATCCCAGGCGTAAACAATATAGAAAATATTTTTTTTAAGGCGGAAGTGTGATGCCTAAATATTTATTAGCCATGAGTATTGTTTACAAACAAAACGCGCCAGATGAAACGTTTGCCGTATATTAACCCCCCACCGCTGTCGATCAGTATGTTCAAATATAATGCTATTTTTATAGACAATCTAGTTGGCATTTGGCGCTTTATGGGAAATTACGAAGCAATTTTTCGAGGCAATTATCGAAATTTTACCAAATAAAGAAGCTCGCTGCCCGCGCACAGTAAAGTCCAGAATGTGAGTCCTTGATCATGTATGCCAGCCCATTGATGGATCTCCGATATTAGCCAGAGATCATGTGCAGCCACGGCAAGTTCAATCCGTTCTACATTGGACCGTATCCGGACTGCGCCTGTGGGGATTGTCCGTATGGCAAGTATTCGGGATTCACGAGATGTGGTTGGAGTGGCGGAAACGGACCATTCGGCACCACCTTTTGTGATCCCTGCTGCGGCGATTCTGCGTTTGGAAACAGTTGTGGAGGCGGTGGTTGTGGGCCAACCTGGAATCCTTTCTGTAATCCTTTTTGTGGGCCATCCTGTGGACCATCCTGTGGACCATCCTGTGGACCATCCTGTGGACCATCCTGTGGACCATCCTGTGGACCATCCTGTGGACCATCCTGTGGACCATCCTGTGGACCATCCTGTGGACCATCCTGTGGATCATCCTGTGGACCATTCTGTGGGCCATCCTGTGCACCATATTGTGGACCATCTTGTGAACCATCTTGTGGACCATCTGGTGAACCATCTTATGGACCATCCTTTGGACCATACTGTAGACCATCCTGTGATCCCTTTTGTGGCTCGTTTTGTGGTCCTTTTTCACCTGGATGCAGGGGAAACTGCTGTTGTGGACAAACCTGCTGCTCCTGCTGCTAAATACCTATGGCATCTGGACTTTAATGTGTGCGGTTAATTGGTTTCTTGAGCAAAATTGATTGTATAGCATGAACAATTATGTTTATCCCTGTTCGGGTTGAAGAGGATTTAATCAAGGGCTTTGTGGGGTGAATCTGTGGTCTAAAAATAACCAGTTTTACGCTTCATTCGCCGCAATCCCCTGTAATGGAATTCCCATACATGACTGCCTCTTGGTTATATGGAATATCGGTGTCGCTTTCGATATACATGCCGTGCATCAAACGAGAGAATCGGGGAAATCGGGGGAACTGGAAAGGAGGTCGGCGCCGCTAAATGCGATTACAGCATAAACGATTAATTTTATTGCAGTTAGCCGAGACGCTTGTTCTATAAACTAATTAAAGCACAGTGGACACACAGCCCGCGGAAGAGGCGACTTCAAAGAACGGGTTAATTGTGCGCTACTCCCCTGCTACAATGTTCTTTTTTTATTTCCGCTCTCTATTTTTTTTTGTTTTTCCTTTGTCTTATTGCAGACAACTGGGCAGTTGGCAGTTTTTGCTAGGCCGAAATTACTCCATGGCTTGGCTAGAATTTACGGTGCCCCCAAGTTCTTGTGCTGCTTGTTCTCCTTTTCAGCGTTTCTATTGCCATTGTTGTGGCGCGGCCTGTCATGTTGTGGGTGGCCGCACTCAACGTTGTTTGTTTTCTATGCTGCGCCGGGTGTTTGTCGCTTTGCTCTTATTTCCCTGCGTTTTTTTCATGTCACGCCTCATTTAGCTTTTCACAACATTTCCACATTTCCACCCACCCATCGCACATCGCAACACAGTCTCGGAAATATCTGGGGATCTGGAGCAGTGCTTCCTAATACTCTGCACTGGCGGTTCTTAGCACACATCAAAATTAACCGAAATAACTAGTGGGGTGTGGATGCGTGTGCTCTGCTGTGCTGCGCTGTATCTGTGAGCTAGATCAAGATGCCTCGTCTTCAGATTGGAATGTTCCTCCTAATGAGCCGCAATATGTTCGAGTTAATTGAATCTGATCGAAGTTGCGGGGAAATAATCAACAGAAAACCAATCAATACTTTAAGAAATGGGAATGATAATGTTTGGCATTGGTCAGAGTTGATTTGAAATAACATATGCTTGGGGAGTTTATCAAAAGCTTTAGTTTAGAAAAGGTAGATTATAAAGAAAAACAATTAAATGGAAAATGTAAAAAGTTGACCAAACTAAACTTTTATGTCAAAAGATTTTTATGTAAAAACATTTTAGTTTCATATTATTATTCATATTAAAACTAATGAATGCCCAAATGCCCTACAAGCTGCAAGTTTTAACTATTCCGCTAGCCACATAATTTAGCACACATCTTTGGTAAATATTGACTGACTCAATTTATAAAAGAGCCTTTTGCTAATTGCCTCGAAAACAGAGTCTTGGGAAACTCCACACCCCTTGTCTGTTTTCACACTGTGTTTCTCATCTTTGATTTATGTAATCGTAAAATTAAAAGATCGTTTACAGGGCAATGAATCGTAAAAACAGCCCAATTAAAGCAACTGAATTCTGGCAAATTTTGAGCAGTGAGGCATATGGCCACGAATCGGCTTTAATTTATTACTCTGCGATAGAAGCAATGCGCTTAGTGAATTTACCCCCTCTTTTTTTTTGCCAGATCGTGTTTTAATGTTTATTGCGATATTGCAGATACGGCCAGTAGTAGTAAAATTATCTTGTGCTTCTGTCGCGAAAGTGAAATTCGCTGACATTAAGATATCGCGTCGATCTATTTGTGACTTGTAGGTGTTTGGAATGCCGAATGGCTTCGGCTTTGAGCTTCGTTTTGAACTTCGGCTTAGCGCACCTGCCCCGTCTTCTCGCCCTCTCGCTCTCACTCCCATTCGAAGTTCCCGCCCTGTCCCCCATCTCGTTCCCACCCATGAAAGTGGACCCAGTGAGCAGGCCGCCGTTTTTCAAATGCTAAAATTGGCGATTAGTCAAAATGATGTCACCGACTTATTTTGATTATTTTTTTTCATTATTTGTATGTATTTATTTTGCTTGACTTTGGCATTTTGGCGACATGTTCACCGTAAATTCCGTATTATTGTTTTCCCCTCTCGGTATTACTGATTGACTAAGGTGGCGAAAAGGCCAAAACGATAAGCGATAAAATGGGGTGACCCTTGGATCATGTTATGTGACTTTTCATTAGCCCCGGCATTCCAATTATTGGCCGAATTAATTATTTCACCGCCTGCCATATGGCGGTAACAGATCTAATCTTAATGAGTATAAGGGTGTATTAATTAAGGAATGTGGTAAATAATAGATAGGGAATTTTTAGAACTTTTTATACAGTAATCCAAATTTACCCTTTGACAATAGAGTGTTAAAATAGAATATCCGCCATGTCAGTAATATTCATCACATCTATTTCATTTTGTCAAAGAAAAATATATGTTTTACCTAACAATTGAGTAAAAAATATAAAATAGGGGCGTGGCATAACAAACAAGGAATTTTAGTGGATCAATTTTATTTGCTATTGTATTTCACATATCACAAAAAGCCACTTACTAGACCAACTAATAAAAGTATTTGTAAACTAAATTCCAGCGGCAACCACAAAAAGTGGGTGGGCGACAAAAAGGGGATTTTGGGGGCAAAGGGGGCGGGGCCAGACGCTTTTTATGAATGAACTTTTTGTGCTGCGTCGCCAACGCGTCACTCATCTGAGTTTTCGGTTACGGTATCGTTATCGTGGAAATCTACTACGCAATTCGAAAGGGAAAATCGGGTATGACAAATGTGCCTTTTACATTTTATTACTATTGTAATGTCTGCTTGGGAATTTCGATTGTTTACCTTTTGTAATTAGCAACCTTTATTTATGCGTCACTTTTGTTGTTCTGCTTTGCTGCTTCTTCTCGGTTCTTTCTCCCCACTCTTCTTGCTGCTTTTTTTATGTTTTAATTTTTCACCTGCTGTTAACACAATAACTGGAGTTGCAAAACCCACATTAACGGTCAAAAGAGAGAGAAAGATAGAGAGCAGAGATGCTGCGCCCTTTGGTCCTTGGTAAAAAATATGGTAACAGAAAAACTTCTTTTTTTTCGGGCTTCGCTCAAGGGCCTAAAACACATACACACACACACACACGCGCGCAAGAACTGAAGCCTGGCTCAAATTAGCCACTCGATAAAGCAATTTTTCTGGGCTTGCCAACGGCGAAAACGTCGCGCGAGTCTCGAGTAATTCCGTGCGAATATCTTATCAACGATTTTGTTTACACAAATTCACATTGCGCCGTTTGCTTCTCTCAACACCCACGAAACCAACAACAACAAAATGTTAGAGATGGGCAAACATCGATGCAAGCTTCGATGCCAATATCGATGCCAACATCGATGTCATCAAGTTTTTAGAACAACGGTTTCATCGATGTTTTCCCATCTCTACGCTGCCAGTCATCTGCTGCAGCGCTGCCCAAAATTAGCTTTTATTTGAAATGGTAATGCAAAAGATGGCAACGCCAGCTGGAAAGGAACTTTGCTAAGCGAAAACATGGCAACGCTAAGTGGTCGAAAACTAGGCTTAGGAAAAAAGTTTGTAAAAATACTTTAAGCTGCACCGTTTAAAAATGTACTTTACTTTTACTTTTCTAAATATTCTTTGCATATTCACAATTAAATTAAACATTTTTGGTGTAAAATTATTTTATTTTAAGCTGTCATAGGCTATGCATTTTTTCGGTTATTAAGAAAAGTTTATAAAATTAGTTTGGTTTTTTAAACGTGTTTTTGTCTTACATTATTTATTATAAGGTAATATAAAAAATCTAAATATCTTGAGTAAAGGCAATTGCCTAAATATTCTGCAGAAATTTATCAAAAGTTTAAAGGCAAATTTTAGTTTCTGAATTGACTACGGCTTTCGATTTTGTACATTAGCAGCAATGCTTAATTTACTTCAAGCTGTTTTACTTAAAGAAAAATTTTTTGTAGTTGATCGACAGTTTTTAATGGCGCGAAATGTTTAAATGATTTTTATTTCGAAAATATATTATACTGGCAACGCCCAAAAAAGTATTTGGCCAACTTGAACAAATAGAAAATAAGAAAAATGAAGAGCAGCCACACTTGAAGTTTATTTAAATTCAAATTTTAAAATTACAACAAAATTTAAGCTGCACAAAGACTTAGTAATTATTCATCGCCTACATTAGTGTGGTTATACATACATACATACACACATTTAATAATTTCAATAAATTGTGCTAAGTTTCCAAAAATTTTTAAGTATCGAAAGAAAGTTTAGCTCTTATCAGTAAGCTTTAGTTTTTTGATTTGGAAGTTCAGTTGTAAATTAATAAGCTGACGAAATGCAAGTGATTTGTGGGATCCTGTTGATCCTGGGTGTAGTAGCTAGTATTTTATCTGAATTCTGCGACAATGGAACTGGAGAGTGCAAAGATTTGAGTGCCACCGATTGCCCGGCCGTATTTTTTAACCTGGCTTTGATTGGTCGTTTTGTGAAATATTGCGACGAATTCAACGACATTGTGTGCTGTCCACTGCCCATTAACATGCAAAGCCAGTCGCAGCAGTTCTCAGGAAACATTGGCCTCAAAAGATTCGAAAAGGGTCAGTTGTACACAGAAAACTATACATTAAATTTACTAAATTAATCTTTGCCTGCACAGAATGTCGTCGCTATAATGAGATAAGAGCTTCCTGTCGCTCCACCCCGCTGATTGTGGGTGGCGCCAAGGCCGCTGGCCGGGAGTTCCCCTTTATGGCGCTTCTGGGGCAGCGTGGGAAAAACTCTTCGCACATCAACTGGGACTGTGGCGGCACCCTCATCCATCCCAAGTTCGTGCTCACCGCCGCCCACTGCCTGGAGACCAGCGAGTAAGTGGGATATCGTACCCCCCTCCCAGATGCCAGAAATAGTTTCCACTCGAATCCCATATTTAATTAAAACATTAGTCGGTGACTATCTAGCTTAGCATAACCACATCATTTATTAAATGTGTAAAATAAAATGGTATTAACAAATAACTGGCAATTAAGTTCCTAACTTTGTATTTAATATTTAAATTATATACAAAATCATAATATTAAATAGAATGTGCTTGATTTAATATTAAAATATTTGAATCATTGTGGAAAATAATAGATTTATTTGTTCAAATTTATTTTTAAATGCCTGATGATTATGCTTAAAATAGTTTAAGTACAATATAAATGAAATTTTCAAATATTAAAAGCAACTCAGTGAAAAGTCAAAACAAATTTAATTTCAGAACCAAGGAGCAGCGCCTGGATCCCGACTACGAAGGTGCCAAATATGTGGTCAGGCTGGGAGAACTGGACTACGAGAGCAGCGCGGATGATGCCCGGCCGCAGGACTTTCGGGTGGTCAACTATGTGGTGCATCCTGCATATGGCGAGGACGATGACACTGGGAGTCGCAGGAACGACATTGCCCTGGTGGAACTGGACAGGGAGGCGACTTTCAACGAGTATGTGGCACCTGCCTGCCTGCCATCGGCCAATGGAAATGATCATCTCCAGGTGACAGCCGCCGGCTGGGGAGCCACCGCCGAAGGAGGACACTCCTCCTCGCATCTGCTCAAAGTCACCCTGGAAAGATTCGAGGAAGAGCAATGCACTCAGCGGTTGGAGCACAAAATCGACAGGCGCACTCAACTGTGTGCCGGTTCACGGAACACCAGTGCGGATACTTGCTACGGCGATTCCGGTGGACCCGTCTTCGTGCAACATTCTACGTACTCCTGCCTCAAGCAGGTGATTGGCATCACCTCATACGGGCTGGTGTGCGGCGTCCAGGGATTGCCCAGTGTGTACACCAAGGTACACCTCTACACCGATTGGATAGAAAATATTGTGTGGGGCGAATAAACACCTAATATTTAAATAAGTAATTCGCAACTCTTACTTAAAGGTAACATCTAAATTTTGTTTGTATCAATATATTTTATGAATGAAGATGTTATGTCAACAACATTTATTATGTTGCTTGCACTTCATATTGCTGAAGGTGCTAAAATAAGATTTGGAATGCTTTGTTGTTCATAATAATTCATACTACATTTACTCAAAGTGTCAAGCTTTAATAGATTTGTATATTTTACTTAAAGAAATAGTTTTACTGTGCACCAATATCGTCTTTACTTAATTTGAAAAAAAAGTGGTTTAGTCTCCTAAGTGTTATTGTATTGCATTTAACTAAGGGTGCTAAATTAAAAAAATATATATATTTCATCCAAAAAAAATAAAATTTTTGCTTGGTCAATACCTTTGTAAACTATTGAATTGAATGTGCAGCAGCCTCTTAAATTACTTAAAAATTAAACATTTATAAAAATTATAAGTCCGGCACATTGTCTTTAATTAACCTTTTCTTAATTTTCAAGAACTCATTACTTATATTCCCTATAAAAATAAAGTTTATGTGGCTTAAAATCGGTACAAAAAAGAAACAAATAAGTATAGATAATATATTATTTAGAATTGAAATAATACTTATAGTATATGTAGCTTATTTTAAAGACACATTTATTAAAAGTTTTCTTTTTGTATGTGTTTATAACGAAAATGTATTTTTATAAAACTCAAAATTCAAATGAAAATCAAACTAAAAATAAAAACCTGAACCTGCACGTTGTGGAGTAATAAAGAAGAGAGGATCCGGTTAATAGACTTTCAAGTGCAATTAGAGTAAGACTAGAACTCGAACTCAAGCGAGTCACATGATTGGGTGATCCCGATAACAGCTTAAATAAACCCGCCCAAGAGAGCTCCGTTGGTATTAAAATCATTTTTGTTAGCTTTAATCAAACGTCTCGACAACAGGTGGCATAACAAACAATTTGGGCTTATTCTACGAGGATGTGGGTGGTGTGTTGGTGCGAATGGAGTATACAATTATATAATATAGCGATGAGTGCTCTCTCGTCGTGCAGCAGTGCGAGTTACTTATGGCTAGGACACAGTGCAAGTGGCTAAGTGCTAGAGGACCCTGTAGAAGGCCAACATTCCGGGTTGACACTGGAGGATATATATAGGATATCGCCTATGGCATAGGTACATAGCTATACTGCACAACTACACCCGTGTAATGCGGTTCAGATCGTGACGTCGCTGGGCATTCCGGTCCTTGATCTCCTGCTTGCGGATCTCCGACTGCTTGTAGACGAACAGTGGCCTAAAGACGATGGCCCTCCGCGGACGCTCCAGCCTCTTGGCAGCCGCATCCCTGCGCTGGCGGGCGGAATATGGCCGGAAGAGCTGCGACTTGGCCGTGTCGTGGGCGTAGAGGGTGCTCAGGAAGTCAAAGTACGGCTTGGAGCGCAGACTATCGGGCTGGGCCAAGGGCGAGGGGCTGTAGCTGAACTGATTGGGCGTCTCGATGTCCAGCAGCGAGTGTGGCACCTCCTGCAGCTGGGGAGCTGCCGTCGTCATGGCCGCCAGGATCACCACCAGGATCAGGCCAGAGAAAAGCTGCAAAAAACAAAAAGTGGGAAAGAACAAGGAACAATTAGTTGGAGACATTGAAATAGGTGTGAATAGCCACTGGAGGACAGAAAACAGAAGACAGAGAACTGAGAACTGAGAACTGAGAACCTGTCTGCTCTAAGCGCTTATGCTGTGAATTAGCATACAATAATTAATTTAAATTAGCCAACTGGACAACTGAAGGGGGAGCCAAGTCAATGATATAACCGCAATCAAATCTAATTTATAGTCGCACGTAAAATATTCATGAGCACGTCTTGAATTTGGTAGGCGTCATCGGGCATGAACCGCGAATCCAGCTGATCTCTAGGCGCCATACTATACTATAAGATCCAAGATCTAAGATCTAAGATCTAACCGGATGCACCACTCTCTAATTTATGCTGTATACCACTAACTTTCGAGCTATTCCTGGAATAGCCATACATGATTCACCCATGATACCCTCTTTTTCGGCTGTTTTTTTTTTCGAATTATGTAAAACCTTAACCGCAGACAGAAAACAAATTAATTTCAATCAGCAGCTGGGCAAAAGGAGAAGCTTGGGATTGTAACCGGTTGGCTTAGTGGCTCAGGGTTAAGAGCTTGGCTCTGTAAACCGAATCAAGGCTTTCGACAGGATGATGGCCCAATGGATCAGCCGCCGATCAAGCGCTTTTATGACACTTCCTCATGAGTTGTCGTGATCACAAGTTCAAATCGATACAGATGTAGATGTAGATGTAGATATAGATATAGAAATAGAATAACTTGATTTGATAATGCTTTTGGCCTTGTCCGGCGGCGGCGAAAAAATCAGAGTACGCTGTCCGTTAGAGCAGTGTTTTTTGTGTTTTTTTTTCGATGTTTTTTGTTGTTTTCTGTTTTTTTGCAGCCTTAATATCGTGAACTTCGGTTGAAAATGTTAATCGCCGAAACACGTTTTTCCTTCTTTGTTGGCCTGAGCCTGTGTTGTGGCTCATAAATTGGTGGACTGATAGCGGATCTCGATTGATACTCACTTGCCAAGAGAATGCAAACATCTTAGATGACGAGTGTGCTTTAATTGGTGGAGTATCCTGTTCTGGCACTTTTGTCACTTGCTCCGATTCGTTTTAAACGGAATATCACTCGCGAAATGTCGAAAACGTTCTGATCGATCGTATGTCTTTATTAGCTGAAAGCCACTGATAAGCTGATTACAATTAACTGATGTAATGATGCCCGTGTTATGGTGTTATAGATTCTCGATGCTATCGCCACTGAGCGTGCGCTTCAACTGTTCAGAATTTTTGTCACAATTCACTTTTATACGGCTGCCGCGATGACTTCGTGTGCCGAAACGGGTTTCGCCCTGCGTTTCGCTAAGTGTTGCCGATATCGCGGCGTTCGCTTAATGTTTTGGTTTTAATTTTGGTTTTGGTTTTGGGTTTAAGCCAAATTGCCAAATTGCCAAATTGCTGGCACCGCTGCAGTTGATCCAGCCAGTCACGTAATTAACGCTTTTGGGAGGCTTCCCAGATCATAGCCCCATATGCGTCACATATGCCCCTGTTTGTTTGCGCTTGGCATTAACCGATCTTCGATCTGCGCCGGCTAACTAATTAAACTTTTTCCATGACGCACTTACCAATCAAGAGAGACACTAATCCTAATCCCCCGCAGAGATCCGATAAACACTTTTCACATCTTCACATCACAGGATGAGGAACTGTGTGGAGCTGGGGGGCAATAGAGAGCTGTGAAACTGGAAACACGGAAGCCAAAGGGGAGTCGTAAAGCTTGAGTTTGATCTCTCACAGAGATCGTTTCAGCATCGGCACCAATTTGGAGATCATTATGTGTGCCTAAGTTATGCAAATTGTTGTTTGGTGACGCATGTCTGGCTTCGACTTGGATGCTTGGATGCTTGGATGATTGGATGCTTGGAAAATTGTCAACCCAGCATAGAGCAAGGCACTTGAGCTTGGCTTTCATGCTTGAGGAGGGAATCCGAAGGTCGACTGTTCTTGTTTAATGCCATTGCCAGTGGTAGTGGTATTGGTAATGGTAATGGTAATGAGCCACGCTCGACTGGATCCCTCTCCCCCCACCAGATAACCAGATAAAGATTAGGCCCCCCACCCCCTTCTTGCCGCACGTGATCAGATCAGAATGGGTTTGGTCTTGGCATCCAGTTCGACATTCAGTTCGAAGTAGAGAGCCAGTGACGTTGGTCCACCACTCGCATCGGATTGTGGTTTCTTGAAGACCCGTCTTGGCCGTGTCAATGGCCAACCGGTTGAGTGCAGGCTGATTTATTCAATTGGCTAACATTTAGCCAAATTGCCCGTCAACACCCCCGAAACGAAAACGCAAACGAAAACGAAAACGACAACGAAAAAACAGGCTCTCAGAACTTGGTCTAGACTCTCACTCAGGCTGGCTTCTTTGTTTGCTGGCGTCTCTAAGCCTTTTCTTGCGTATTTATAGCCAGAGCAGAACCATTTTGCCCATAATATTTGTTCAATAAATTCCATTTAATTAGTTTTTTGGCTTGCAAGCCGGTTTGAAACGCAATAAGACTAATGGCCGGGCGATAAGCGGAGCCACAGAGCCATCGTCACAGGCCGACCAAATGTCAGAGAGTGAAAAACAAAATAAAAATGCTTATCAGGGACTTGCGTCTATTCGCTAAAGTTCAGATCCGACCGGATCCCTTGGGCAATTTCACATAACGCCGTTTTAATCTCATTATTTTAAGCAAGTATTTGCTTATTTACATGTTTTTTATTTGTTATATGTACTTGTCAAAATCGGAACTTGTTAACTAGTGAGCATTTTTTTATTCCTGAGTCTAAAGTCCATAAAGAAAGTAGTAACTTAAATGCGAATAATTTTTTTGTTTATCTGATGATAACTTCCTGTCCAAATCGGTGAATTAAAATAAGTAAGCATTATTCATTCATGTGTCTATGATCCATGCTAAAAGTAGTAACAACAGTAATGCAATAATGTTTTTGTTTACTTGATTATAATTTCCTGTGCATATAACATGTACTTGTCTAAATCGGATCTTACTATCAATGAGCTTTATTCTTTCATTAGTCTATGATCCATGATGAAAAGTAGTAACTGAAATGCAATAATCTTTTTGTTTATCTGAATATGACTTCCTGTGAAAAACATTTGTACACACTTGTGAAAATCGGAACTTACTAATCAGTGAGCATTATTCATTCATGAATCTATGATCCCCATGACCCATGATGAAAGTAGGTGAATCACGCGGCTTTTAATACACGACTTAGTCGGAAATGCAGGTGTTCTAATTGGGTAAGATATGCTGCGTTGCTGGGCGTTGACTTCCGCGGAGGAGTACGACTCATCAGCGAGGTGATAATTGGCCAAGATTGGATGCTGGTTGCGCTTTCCGCGGGATTGATTCACTACATATCGACTGGCGACCGAAAAAGGTGTCAGACAAAAGGGGCACGTTCCGGCTGCCGCTGAAACTAACATTTCCATTTGCCATCTCCTACCATCCTGAACACTCAATATTTGCCCTTCCACTTTGGACTGGCGACTGGCGCACGTCATTTGCGGACTTTTGGGTGACTGATACACCCTGGTGGTAATTAACACCTCAGCAGCTTCGTCACACGCTTTCCACCACCGAACAACACTTAATTTATGGCCCTAATTTGTTTTGATCATGGATCATGGAAATTTTGGCCGATCTAATTAGTAACATGATTTAAAAGGGGGTGTTAAATGCGGATCTTTAATTTACGAGGTTTTCGCAGCATTGATTTGTTTTTAAATGTTGGCGCCTCTCTGAGCTTTATTCGACTTTGTCTCGGCCTTGCCAGATCGTCGGAAAAAAATAAACCAGAGCTTTTACTCAAGAAACGCTTGAGTGAGAGCTCGTTTGACATGCATTTTACTCATGTCAAATATTTATACATTCAATGAGTGACTTTTAAGATATCTGAGTGACATTTTTGATTTATTCCGTCAATCTTGTGGATAATTTAAACACTTTTGACTGCAGAAAAAACATTAGTTTTTGCTTCTATTTTAATGTTCAACAAAAAGTTATATGAATGAAATAAAAAGGTAGATAAGAAAATATGGGTCAGGCTATTGTTATTTTAACGTCTATAAAAATAGAAAATGTATGTACGATATGTTGCAGTAAAATTTTGATTTGCTCATCACGTTTTTTTATTACTCAGTAAATTTAAAAAAATTTTTTTTAGTACTAGGCTGCTGGAAATACATTTAAAAGAAGTCGATTTATAGACGAATTCGCACAAAAAGCTGTAGTCTAATATTTTGTTAAAATTAATATTAGACAATACTTAATAAAACCATTGAAGCATTGCAGTATCAACAGTTAATCACTAATTCCTGTGAATATTCAATCATAAACTTAAAACTCATATTTAAATAATCAAAACAATAAACTTTCCAGCTTAAGATCTTCAAAGAAATTGTTTTTTAAAGTCACACAAATATTATGCCAATTTTCATTTTCACTTAAAGTACACTTAAAAAAAAAAAAACAAGTTAATAAAAATCTAGTTCCAACCGCTGATAACACTTTCGAAATTAACGGTTAACCGTTTTGCCGGCCACAACAGACTGTTAGCCAACAGCTGTTAGGCAACAGCACGCCAACAGGCGAAGAGAAACCGCTGTCCAAGCGAATATCGTAATTTTCGTAGCACAGCCACTCGACATCGGACATCGGTTCTTACGAATATTGGTAAAAATTTGTAAATCGCTGTTTTAAAAACTTAATTAAAGTGCTGCTGCCGGTCCTAAAAGCACCTGGCCGTGTTCGCGTCGAAATTCGTGTCGCTTTGCTCTGATCGTGCGGTTCTTGCTGATTATCAACAAATGCCAAAATTTCGTCAAGGCGAATAAAAATTGTATATGTACACATGTATGTATGTGTGTGTGTGTGTGAAGATCACCAAGTATATGTGTGTGTGTGTGCGAGTCTCTGGGCAAATAAAAAACACATTTTTTAATATTTAACTAATATTTGGCACAAACGACATAAAAAAAACGGCAAGATTGACATTGAAATACACCGGAAAAAAAGTGTAAAGTGAAGACAAAAGCGTCTTATCAGTAGAAAAACTAATGCAAAACCAACAATAACTATTTCAGATTTATATACCTCATATTTTTTTCGTCGAAATCTACCCACTCTCTTTGTTATAACTTTTGTGCTTGTCTTTGTTGCGTTATTTGTTATTGTTGTTTCGGGGTTGTCTCGCGATTAGAATTAATTGACAAATGGCAACAACAAATTATTCGGGTTCTTTTTTCGGTGTTAATACTTACGGGCAAAAAAAGGCACTGCTAGAAAAGTTGTAGATATGTAAATTTTGGAAATAATCAGGAAGATGAAAGCGCTGTTTGGTATAGTAAAATATAAATTGTAAGACAGTTAATAATATAAATTAATATTTATTTGGCTAATAATTTCAAGTAAAATACATTGTAACAAGTGTCATCCCTGAATAAGTATCGTCTCGTGGGCTGTAAAAAAGTAACAGGATGCACGAAAGAAGCCACAAAAGGGAGACGAACGAAAAGAACATGAATAAATCATAACTAGAGTTAGTGCGATCGGATTGTTTTCGTTGCTCGCCTTCTGCGATCGGTTAGACATAAAATTAAAGTACAAATAAACGAAAACATTAACCGCGGGTTCAACGACCGCCGACTTCTCTCCATGTGTGCGAGTTCTCAGAGATAGAAAAAGCATAGACCTCCACTTCTTTCTCGGACCCATTCCCATTAGCACCTGTCACACCATTCTTTATCGCGAGCTGCTTTTTTGGGGTTATCTAAAACAGGCAACAGGTAGCTGTTACCTGTTTCCTGTTACCTGTTTGTGAACTATCGTATGGAGCAAAAGGACATATCGATACACACAGACAGATCGATAATATCATACCTCTGTTCCTCTGTTCATTTACAGTGGGAGCAGTGAACATTAAGTGTACTAAAAAATCAATACCCAGCAGCGGAATATAAGCAAGTCGGCACCTGTAATTATCCAAAAATCCAGCTACATGTCACAATCACCTCAGCTGAAGCGACAGAAAATGTCCCAGGGGAAAAAGTTCGGCGATGGAGACCCATTTAATTACCAGGAGCTGAACATCATTGGCACAGGTAAGCGGATTTGTTGTTGGGATAGGTCGGCGCTACAAAGTGGTTATTGTTTATTTATGGATGCTCAACGAAACTTTGGGGATCATTAACAACATACTTAATTTGCTTACAAATTTGGGTTATACAATAAAGCAAACACACGCTATTGTTTGTTTAAAAAGCTTGTTTAAATAGTAGCTAATTGAGTGCTAAGAACCTTCACTAAGTGCGGCTTAAAGAAAAGTATGTAAAAAATCTAATTATTACGTTTGAAAACCATATTTTAACGAGTTTGTAGCGCATTAGCCGACTGCACTTAACCGACCCTTTTAAAACCACGACTAATTAAGCATGGAAAATCATGAAAAAGGGGAAGTATTGACTAGGTAAAGATCGGAATTTCCCCGTTTTGGGGCTTGAGCATTTTCCTTGCATACTTTTGGGTTTATCCCTAGGGGGGCCACGTGTTTTTATATCATTATTCGAAAAGAATATCGAACTCAGATCGATGCTCGGACAAGTGGCTCATGGTCTTTTTTTTTTGGGGCAGCAATTACCAATACCAAACGTTGTGTTTCTTTGTTTTGTCGATAAAGTCCAAATCAATTGCGTCACCGAGCTGTGAAAAGGCGAATAATGTTAATGATGAATATTGTTACTGGCTGTGAGTCAGGGCAGGGGCTTAGAGGGGGCGGGGGGCTTCAAGCCGGAAGGTAAGCCATTCACGGGCCCCCCTCAATTTCATCTGTTATACGAGCCACACACTTACATTTTCGTCTGTCTGTTCGCATTCATTCAATTATTGCCCCTTGCCATTCGCTTTCGCTCCAACCTTTCATTGTTGTTGTTGTTTTGTTTTTGTTTTTTCATTTTTTTCCCTTGGTCTGTGCGCAATTTTCGAGTTTATTTTTTTGACAATGCCAAATCGAGAGCCCAGTAGCCGCCGACGTTCAAAACGAGTCGAAGTCGAGCTTTCGGCCTTGTGCTTGACTGTCGAAATAGCGGCACAGTTCACAAGCCAGGTGGTCTGTGGTCTGTCTGGAGACCCCCAAAAAAACCTCCCACCCCCCACTGGGTTCGATCTTACTTGCAGTACAGTGTCTGTCAATGTCACCCGAAATAGCAATAGCCAGTGTCTTGTTGTTGCCCCCCACGCATGTCTCCGTCCGTCCAGTTGTCCGTACGGGTGATAAATTTCGGGTGACAACATTTTGTCTGTGGCATTTGATTCTGATTGGGGCTATTTCGGCTTTCTTCACTCGAGCACATTTGAAATAGTATAATATCAATATTAAATTTCGTATTTTAATGAAATATTTGTCTACCTTGGTGGTCTAAAATACATTATTATTCCGTTAATTAAAATATTTCAATACCAACATGTAAAATGTAAATTTTAATCAAGGAGATAAATTGAATAAAATAAATATTAAGTACCGAGTTCTTAAAACTTTTTCTATTGCAAAAATTAAGATTTTTTTAATTTATAAGGTATTAAACTATTTAGAAGGCAACAAACATTTTCCTTAAATCATTACCAGTTTAACCTGAGTGCTAAGAATAACAAGATGAACAAGAAAAGTAGAAATCATGAACAATATTTCATAGATAGAGAAGTGAATTTGTCTTAAATCATTGCCAATTCTGAGATCAAATATTTCTCTCCGTGAGTCTCTCGTTTCAGCAACCTATATAGTTTGCCAGATATCGACAATCAGCCGGCATTTTTCGGCCATCTTATCAGCACAGCTGACTTTGGTTTTTGTTGCCTTTTATTTTTATTTCGTATACTATGCGAATTTTCGGCAGTTTTACTTGTTCTTATCTGGACTTGCTTTTAGGGGTATTTTTCGTGTCTCTGTTTTCGCTTCTGATTAGCATTACGATTTGATTCGGTCATTCGCAATTTTGATCCAATTTTGCTTGGCTTTTTCAGGTGCTTATGGAACGGTCTACAGAGCCCGGGATGTGATGAGCGGTAATATAGTGGCCCTGAAGAAAGTGAGGATTTCGCTGAACGAGAATGGAGTGCCAATGTCCACGCTGCGGGAAATTTCGCTGCTCAAGCAACTGAATGCCAGCAATCATGCAAATATAGTCAAGTGAGTATGTTACCTATTTGGGGGCTTAAGTTTTAAGCGAATGCATTAGCATTTCTAAACAATTAGCAGCAGGCATTTAGATCGTGTATATACATACATATGCAGCTAAAAGCTAAAGGGGGTGTTTGTTGTGGTGTGTTATCACCCGCTATTGAGGCCGAGTGGCGCCCCAACTATTTGCCAAAGTCACTCGAAAGAACCTCCCTACAATGTCACAGCGCTTCTGTTTATCTTTGCACGCTATATAGCCGCAGTATTCCGCCGATTTGCAGGTGTCTCCCCCTTCTGCCTTACCCCCACTTTTGGCATATGCCAGTCAAATAACTCTGGAGCGGCGCCGCTTTGCTACCGCTGATAACGCCGCTGATTTTGTATTGGCATTAAGTAATATGCGGCAGCCGTTGCAAATTTGAATTTACAGAGCGCGCGCTTAACAGGCTCGATAACACAATGTTGCCGGTAGCCGATATCGATCACATGTTGCGCTCTCCTTCTCTCTCTGTTTCTCTCTTTTCTTAAAGCAAATTAACATTGTGAGAGAGATCTGGGGAATATCGTATGTGCAAAAGAGCAAGTTCAACAAACAGTATGTTAAATTGCAGAACGCGCTATGTTGTGTGCCTACTATTTTACTTGAAACCAGAAGTATATTTTGGTTTGAGGGGAAAATTCACTTTTTGAAAATTCTCAAGCTTATAAATGTTTATTAAACATTACAGTTTTAATGCTGGAATTTCTGTACTTCCTTAAAATTTTTTTTGTTTTTTGTAAGCATTAACAATTCAAAAGTGCTGTTAAAATAACTGACTAAAATTTCGCCTAACATAATGTAAATAACATTTGCTTTTTAACACTTATGTTATTAACTTTGCAAACGATCTCTTTTATTTTTGCCACTTGCCTCTTTGATCGCTATATCGTAAGCGTGCGCATGTGTTTGTTGCGAGTGTTTTGCTTAGTTCCCTTAACGAACACAGTATGGCCGATGGCGCTAATAAGGCCAGCAGCATTTTATAACATTTCGTCTATATCTCTCAACATTTCCTATCTATCTGTCCCTTTCTGTGCTTGAAATCACACAATTTCTTATATATATATATATTAATATTTCCCCTACATTTTCAGACTGTTCGAAGTATGCCAGTTTCTGGAGCGAGATGGCCAACTGTTGATTCTTCTGGTTTTCGAGCATTTGGAACAGGATCTGTCGGATCTTATAGATAGACTGCCCAAATCGGGCATGTCGCCTCCTACAATTCAGGTGGGCGTTGAAATTTATACTTTACATAATTATATTATTATATGTAATTATAACTTCTTACAAGGACCGTAAATAATTATTATTGATTCGATTATTTCGTTAATCCATTTTTTGTATAAATTTCTATTTTGCTCATAAAATATTAATTAATTTGTGATTTTTATTTTAACTTAAAATTAATATATATATATTTAGATAATATATTTATTTAGATAAAATTGATAAAGTTTTCGGCTTTTTTTTATCAAGATTTGATTGTTACAACTTCTTGTAATTATAAATTGAAGAATTTTTTTTTCGATTTTTTAATACAAGTTTTGAATTTTATTTTACCCTTGTAGCGCCTGTCGAGGGAATTACTTACTGGAGTGGACTTTCTGCACTCGCATCGCATCATCCATCGGGATTTGAAGCCCCAGAATTTGCTAGTCTCGTCGCAGGGTCACCTCAAGATCGCCGACTTTGGCCTGGCCAAAACGTACGGATCGGAAATGAAGCTCACTTCGGTGGTGGTCACCTTGTGGTATCGAGCCCCCGAAGTACTGCTTGCCCAGCCCTATAATAGCACCGTAGATATCTGGAGTGCCGCCTGCATTATCTTTGAGATGTTTAACCGCAGGGCTTTGTTTCCCGGAACCTCTGAAAAGAACCAGCTGGATCGCATCTTCGAGTGGGTGTTCTATTAAATTTCGTTGTTTCATTTTATAAAACTTTTATGTTTGATAATTTACAGACTGACTGGTCGGCCCACCGAACAGCAATGGCCCCAGACTATTTCAGTGGCCCTGGAGCACTTTCCCCAGCGGCATCCAAAGAGACCAAGAGACTTTTGTCCCCATTTGTGCAAATATGCCGATGGCCTGTTGAATGTGAGTATATATCCCAATGGAGTAAAGTAATCTGGTTTGGTTTTACAACTTGTTTTTGTCCAATGAACTTTATTTTAACTTCTTTAATAACTTTCTTATTCTCTTTCTCTATTTTTGTACACCCATGAATTTGCCTTAAATTTAATTTTCTCAATTTGAGACGAAATTTTCTTGGTTATACAAGAGAGATTTAAATAATATGACTTTTAAAACATAAGAAACCGCTTTTATAGTTTTGAAAATTTAAAATGCATAGTACTTAAAACACCTCGATGATTACTCCCTCTTAAATTGTAAAAACTGATATTATTGTATACCCTCGACTAATGATTACCCCGTTCTTGCCCCACAGCAAATGCTATCCTACGACCTGCACCTGCGACCATCCGCCTTGGCTTGCCTGGAGCACGAGTACTTCCAGCAGGAGCCACTATAGCCCTGCTATCGAAACATATCCCAGAAAGATGAAGAAAGCGAGAAATCGTTACGGCCTCGGCCTCGCTTCGTTCTTGTTACAATGTTCCTTTAAGTGTAGTGAAGCATTTTGTTTATTTTTTTCGCGTCAGTCCAGTTATGGTGTCCGGATCCGGGTCCGGAATGAAGAATATAAATACCTTAATATGTTTGTAGTCGTAAGCTAAGTGTAAACATAAAAACAAACATTGTCGTGTCGTATAATTATTACTGCCGATCAACTGATAACCGTTAAATGTGAAACGATTCTCGAGGGCGCTTTAGAGCCCCTCCAAATGTGATACACAAAGTTCAGGAATGCATTATACAATTTCAAAATTTTGTACAACAACTACAATTTATATATGCAACTATATATACAGCGTAAACTTATACTCTTGTGCTGTTTTCTTTGGTAAATGGGTCTAAAGTGGATTGAAAGCCGCTGGCATAATTACTCTTTTTATTCTCAATCACTTGGCGGGATTATTTTACATAATTTGTTTATATATTAGGAAATTACACACTTTAAACAAAAACCTATCGAAATGAAAATTATCTTTCCAAATTTGTGTAATATAAATATTTTGTTGTCAAATTTATAGTTAATTATTTTTTTCTTTAGTTATGTGTTACATTTAAAATGTTTGCATATTTAACGTTAATAAATGGTGTGCAACCAGTTTGAAAAGGAACAGATAAGTAAGGCACTGCATAAGCTTCATTTTCGAGCCATTTATTGTTTAAATATATAGTTATTTAGTTTAAATGGCCAAGCTTTCCAATTGCTGACATAAACTTACTGAATACCCCGTTTATATATTTATGGCACAATTTTTTAAATCCAAATGGTATTAAGGTATATTTTTGGAAGTAAGACGGTATTTTTTTTACTTCTACGCAGTCACACTGACTTCTAGAGATGGACACACAACGATGTTTGCTAAAATCGCGTTCGATGTTTTTGGCGAAAAGTCCAATTGATGTTTGAATAATAATAAAATTGTTTAAAAAAATAGGGACAACCTCCGAACGAATCAAGTGAAAATAAAATATAAATAAGCGGTGTGTTAATTTAAGGCAAGCGGTCAATAAATAGTATATTTTTAAAAGTTTTAATTTTTCGGCATTTAGGTGCGCAAAATTTTTACCATGCCATGATCAACGTGTTTTATTTAAATTGAGTAAAACCAACTGACTGCGTAGGAAAATAAATGCAAACGAACTTATATGCACGCAGAAATATATGTAAAGGCAACATATAAAATGTATTTATTTTATTTATTTATTTTTGAATAGTAATATTTTATGAAATTTTATTGTGTATGTAAAAACTACTTATAGGGGTGACCATTTTTCAAAGTATGCATTACTTATCGATGATCCATGCCAAACATCGATATAACCGATGTATGGAAAACATCGATTGCAACAATGTGTTGCCCCACCTCTATCACCCCTACTTCCGCCTCTTTTTCGAAGACGACTTGCTAAGGAAAGTTGTGACTTTTCGTACTTTTTTGCCAATTCACGTTTCGTGTCAAGAACCCAAGACTTAAACATGCGTTACGTGGCTGCTTACCTTCTGGCCGTGCTCGGTGGCAAGGACACCCCCGCCAGCGGCGATCTGGAGAAGATCCTGAGCTCCGTGGGCATCGAGGTCGACGCTGAGCGTCTGACCAAGGTCATCAAGGAGCTGGCCGGCAAGAGCATCGAGGACCTGATCAAGGAGGGTCGCGAGAAGCTCTCCTCGATGCCGGTTGGCGGTGGTGGCGCTGTGGCCGCCGCCGATGCCGCCCCCGCTGCCGCCGCCGGTGGCGACAAGAAGGAGGCCAAGAAGGAGGAGAAGAAGGAGGAGTCCGAGTCTGAGGACGACGACATGGGCTTCGCCCTCTTCGAGTAAGCGGTTCAGCTGGCTCACAAAAGTGGCGAATATTCTGTGCTAAACACTTGCAAGGCAGAGGAGGAGGAGGAGGAGCACCGGCCATTGCGACCATTGTCTAGCCATCCGATGACCAATTCTACGAAATAAAAATCTGCAGTGTTTGCACTTTATATAAACCAAATGGAATTGTGTTTTTAGTGCGGTTTAAATGGTTATTTTCATGTATTTATGTGTCGCATATCCGTAACATTGGATGCACGTGTTGGTCAACATTTTCATTGATTACAGTTCTTGGAATGAAGCATGTTAACTTAACAGTGGCCAGGGCTGGACTGTAAAGCAACAGCATTTAAAATAATTTCATTCAAAATTTGTATTGGATTGTTAGTTGGATAGTTAGATATATAGACATCTAATCATCAATTTAATACCTGTCGGAAGGTAAAAAAGTATAGGTCAGAAGTTTGTAGCACTTTTAGCAAAACAACTTTGAACATAATAAGTATAGGAAATTTTTGTTCAAGTATCACCGCTTATTTAAGCATCCAAGAACTTATTTTATACACTTTCAAAAGGTAAAATAATATTGGTTGAAAAATAGTTTGTACCGTCACGAATAAGTCGTATCTGACCATAAAAAGTATATAAATAAATTCATGAAAATATATATATATCGCAAAGTGAACATACGCACCAAAAAAAAAAAAATGTGAACCACTTTAAATAGGACTCCTTAGATTTATTGCAATATTAATTTAAAAAATTTCATCTATGAAATGATATTGAAACATTGCTTTTAAAAATTCATTTTTATAATATAACATTTTGATTGGTTGAAATAAAACCAATGGGCTAATTCCAGTACACTTAAATACACCGAGTAATTTTACTAATAAATACACCGAGGAATGTGGTCATCACAAGTTATATACATCCATGCGCAGATTAGGCCAGGCCAACAATCGTATAGAATATGAGGGGCAGCACTAGGTTGTCCACCTGGTCGGTAAAAGCCTCTACTAAAGCGGTATTCAATGCCGCAAAGATGGTAGCAAACCATTTCGCCTGGGTCATGGCCAACAAGCCGGTAATCTGCAGCAACCATACGGCGAGCAGAATGGAAACCACAAAGGCGATGGTGCCCTCCAGTGAGCGGGAGGATTCTAAAATAAATATTTGTTAATATTAATATAATGAGTTTTATGAGAGGGACTTGTTGAAAGACTATCATAAGTTAAAAGAAAAGACCATTATTTCTATAGTTTTTACACATAATGAGATCATAATCCCTACAGATTTGACCTTATAATTTGTATTATTTCAGTATAAAAAGTAATATTGATACTATTGAGTACTCCAAACATTGATTTTAAATGGTACACTTTAGAGATCAAAATATTATCAATTTTAAAGAGATTTAAACTTTCTGAACATAAATAACAATATAGATATAACTACTCTGATTTCTCCAAAGATTCTTCGTATTAATTTTAAGTTATGACAGTCTTTCAGTTATATATGTAAATATTTAGCCACACTCACTTCCCCACTTGTTGCGGCCCAACTTGGAGCCCACCACACTGGCCGCAGTGTCACCTACGCCCACTGCCAGGATTCCGGAGAGCAGAGCCAATGTATCGCCGCCAGAGCAGGGACATGGCGTCATCCAAACGGGCATGGAGCAACCGATGAGCAGACAGAACGGCGTCAGTGCCAACTCCCCGGCATCCTTCTCATCCTTGAAGGAACGGAATGCATCGGCCAGTCGCTCGGCGAATGGAGGAATCTTAAGGAGTCGTAGCAGTTCCAGGACCACAAACGCAGCCAATGCCACTCCAGTGGCCAGGTACAGCAGGGCGCACTCGTAGACCAATCCCGGGATATAGACCAGCACAATAAGAAGATGGAATATCTTGCGAATGCGCGTGTTGGCCTTTGAGGCGCTGCCAATTTGCCAGGCAACAGTGAAGCAGGTTAAAACCACCAGCAGCAGATAGAAGACCAAGATGCTGAGTCTATTGTGATCCTGCAGCAGGAAGTGGATAAGGGCCATCAGGGGAAGAGGTCTCGTCACCGGCATACAGGTCACAGCCAGCAGGAGCTGCAGCGTCCACAGGTAAAAGCGGTACGGTTTCCTCAACGATGGAAACATGACGAGAGCCAGGCAGAATACCAGCAGCCAAAACAGTGCGTTCTGTAGGAGTGATAACAATAATTTATTAATAATTTAAAACATTTAGTTTTAGTGGAACCTAAAATAGATTTAAAACTTATAAAAGGTAGCACATTTTATAACTATTTTAAATGACAATACATTCAAATATCAACCAATACGCGCATTAATTCATAATCACTCAAATCATAATAGTGATCTATCGTTATTACCATGCATTTAAATTCAAAATTAAAAAGATTACATCTAAAATTTTGATTATAAATCGATTTTCTTTACAATTTTAGGTGTAACCTTTTTACTTTTTTATTTCACATAACATATATGAGTAAATTAAGAGTGTTAACTATGAACTAGGCTGAAAAGTTAAGTGTTTAATACGCAGTACATTAATCACAGATATCTGTGTTCCTTTAAGGGTTAGGAATACCTACCACCATGATCATGTTGAGGGTCTCAAATTCACCAGTTGGCCAGGAGGCGCCACAGAAAAATCCGCTGAGTCGGTGGACAGCACTGATGGCGAAGAGCACCAGTCCTTGGACAAAAACAGAGGCCTCGCCGTAGGTAAACAAACCCTCGAAGCCACGCAGAGTGTAAATATAGATTTGCTGGTACGCGGAGGTCATCAGGAATCCCACAAGGACGGCGAAGGTCAGCGAGGAGTCGGCCAGCAGATAAAGGCTGAAACTGGTGGCCACTCCGGGCAGCAGGCTCACCAGGCACTTGACCAAGATGCCCGTCTTTACAAAGGCATAGACGAAGAAGCAGAGGGTTTCCAAGGCCATTCCGCTGGCGGAAACAGTGAGGAGCCACTGCATCCTGGCAGCATCCTTATCGCAGTCAGGTGAGTCATGGAGCAGGCGTACACTTAAGGCCAACGGAATTAGCAGGCACAACCAGCCACCGGGTCCGGCATTGGGTCTACAAAAGGGTCACAGATTAGATTCCAGGGTTATACAGCAGATAAGGCGGAACTTTGGACTCCGCCGCTGGAAAGTGGTGACTCACCTGGGCGCCATGGCCTTGAGGCTGAACACATCCGCACCACGATGGGTGCTCCTTCGCTGATGGCGCAATCCGCTGGAATGGCTGTCATCCGTAGAGGAGCCGCAGGAATTCGATTCGTCCGATTGCTCACTGTCCGTTTCTGGGCTCCGCATTTTTCAAGGGGCGATAAACTCAAAACATGACTTCTGCAAAATCTATATTCGCAAATAGGTCAAGGTGATGGAGAAAACCTACGCTTTTCTGCACTTCGGAAAACTGATGATGGTGTGTTTTGGATGCACTGGACCAGCTGGTCGTGCGTTGTTTTTGTTTTTTTTTTGGCGAACTGTTGCTTCGGGTTTGAAATGCACTTCGGGATTTTAAAGCGTCCGTAGGTGCGGTCACACTGTTAAAAGGTGTGCCCAGGCTCGAAGTTTGGCGGGAAGAAATCAATAAATTGAACTATGAGCTCAAACAACTTTTATTTTAGAAAAACAAATTTTTAAAATATTAAACTAAAATAAAAACACATAGAAAGTATAGCTACCAACATATGAAGGAAATCTTTTGTAGACGATGTACTTGATTTTGTAATCATAGTATGTAAATATATTTTAAACATTTATGTTAAATTTAAAATAGTAACTTTTTTTTAGAGTTCAGTATATATCCGTAAGTTTCTTAGAACTTATACAAACTAGTACTTCCCGATAAGAATATTATGCTTGAATACTGGTATTACTAAGCTTCATTAATAACATAGGCCACTGTTTGTTTTCTTGTATTTAATATTGTAAAACCAAACCTCGTACAAATTGCATTTAGCATAAATAACATAGAGAAAATGCTAAACTATTAGGGGAATATTGCTCGGCGACTTAGAGCATTCCAAACAGGTAGTAAAGCACGGGCACGACCAGAGCCGCTTTAGCTCCCGAAATTCCGGTGAAGCAAACAATCAGCTTGAAGACTCCATACCAGAAGAGGAGCTGCAGGGCCACATGGAGACCCAGAAGGCTAAATTAAGAGAAAGGTTAATATCTGCTTTGACTATTAAAATCACAAGTCCATACATTTTGTCCTTTCGACGAGCCTTTTCCAGGTTCCTGGGATGCTCCTTGCTGAGATACTGGCGAACTCCAAGAATGGTGTTGGAGAAGTACTCGTCCCACGACAGTTCACCGATGTCAATGATGAACTTCTTCTTGTCCACCGGATTGAGAGACTTGGAAAGCGCCAGTAACTTTTTGCTGTCGAAGTGCCATTCCGTGAATATGAAACGCTCCAAGGTGTTCAGTGAGTTCCATACGTTCTTGTGCAGGCGAACCAAGCTAAAATAATGATAAAACAGATTATTTAACTTTAGCAAAAGCTAAGAGCCATGCAGGTTTGCTACACAGATCACTTATAATGATACAAATAATCAGAATTGAATTATGTTTGTGAAAATAAATAAATTAGTCAATCTAAGTCATTTTAACTGTAATATACTTATTGATTTTTTTATAAACATATACTCACATGGGCCTACCGCCTCCAATCTTGGTGACCAGATCCAGGATCACAGCGGGAATGAAGTGGAAGAGAATGGCGCTCAGCCGGAAGACCCACAGGCTATTGACCAGACGCAGAGTGGGATACCAGACGGCACTGTTCAGTGGATAGTCGTGCAGGTAGCCATTGATCTTGTCCGTCATCAGTTCGAACCGGAACGGCTTGTATGTGCTGGAGGTCAGGTGGAAGATCTGCAGATCGGCTGGACGGCCTCCGTTTTTCGCCTGCAGCGAGTTCACATAATAGCCGGTGCTTATGATTCTAGATTTGGAAAAAAATGCATAAGACTTGTTTTAAGGAGTATGGCAGCTACTTACCCATTAACCACCACATCGATGGGTATGTAGTCCATGATGATGCTGGGATCCAAAGGAAGGCGACGAAGCACGCCCTTGGAGGCGCCCATGAAGAAACCTTGGGGGCCATTTTTCGAAATAGTCCAGCCAGGAAGCGGTTCCTTCCAAGCAGCGGTGACTGTAGTTATATAAAGTTTTAGTTAAGTTTTAGGATAGAGGAGAGAAACTTAATTAAATACTCACTCATGCTGGGACGGACAATGCAGCAGGGGAATTTGCTGGCCACATTGGCCACTTCGTGCTCGGCCAAATGCTTGGTGAAGGTGTAAGTATTGGGGTGATCCTTAAGTAGTCTACAAGGAATTATTTAACAACTATTGAACTGTTCTGAATATACAGTACATTATAGGCAACCCACTTTGGTTCCAGTTCCTTTAAAGCCTCGTCGTTGAGCGTCTCCGACAGCTGGATGATCTTCTCGGGATCTTCGGGCGAGGGATACAGCTTCTCCTCGACCTTCGTAAGATAGGCATTCACATAGGCGCTGGACACATGGACCAAGGCATCCAGTTTCTTCAGCTGCTGGCACAGCTCCACCACTCGCCTTGTGCCCCGCAAGTTGATGTTCGTGGTCTCCTTCAGCGATTGGAAGAAGTCCAAGGTGGCGGCCGAGTGGAAGACCACATTCACATTGTCGATCAGGGTCTGACGATCCTTGGGCGAGATGCCCAGATTCTCAAGGCCTACATCGCCCTCGATGGGCACGATCTTGGACAGACGGGACTCCAGCTGCAGCTCCTTGAACTTGTCGAACACGGAGTTCTTCTTCAGCTCCTCCAGTCGCTCCAGGACATTCTTGCCCTTCTTCGCACGCATCAGCAGGTACAGAGTGCCCACGTTGGGAATGTCCCGCAGGAGTTTCTCCACAATCGTGACGCCCACGAAGCCAGTGGCTCCGGTGATGAACACATTGCGGCCCGCATAGAAGTCTGTGATGGGAGAGCTGAAAATCGAAGAGTTTTTCAATCTATTTTGTTTGCATAGCTACTACGACTATGTGTATTTATAGACGTCATAAAGATGAACCAAAACTTTCTCTCATCTCCCATTCAAATGGCCCCAGAGATTCGTTGCTTACGACAGTCGTTCACCCATAAAAACCTTTGGCTCAAACCTGTTTTGCCTCGTTGGTTCCGAGTTCTAAGTGCCCATTGTATATCCTCTAATATTTATCTAACTAATGATTTGTTAGCAGGTGTCGACTTGCGGGTCAATGCTGGAATTCAGATCCATCTTGTGGGTGTCTCTAGTTTCATGATACTTTTGAATGAGCACTCGACTGAAAACTTGTCGAGCGGTGAAGCAAACTTTCAAATTTTAAAGTTTGATGTGGTTTTCAATCTAAAAAGATTGTGTTTGGAACATTTTGCCCATTTAGATACTTTCAAGATACTTTTTCTAGGTACTTTACTTAAATTCAATTCATATTTATCTAAATATTTTGTATTAGAAAGTCTTTAATCAATTTAAAAGTAAAAATTATTAAAAACCTGTTGAGTGATACTGATCTAAATAAAACCATGTTTTTATTGAGGGGTTGATGATTTTACCTCAGAACTTTTCTGTTTGGGGTAACACAAAAATTTCTTTCAACTCAACTCCGAACAACGAAGTTGGTTTGTTTTGCAAAAAGTTTATTATAGTTCACTTAAGCTCTGAACGTACGGGAAACCCCATTTCTTATCGAACATTTTCTCAACCGTTTCGATCGAATTACCAAACATCTGGGGGCTTCAACACGCAACATGATCATTCAATTAGCCAAGTCTGACGCATTTCTCTTTTAATGACCTCCATCGCAGTTCGCTGTCTCCACTTTTTGTTATGCCAAATGATTTTATAATGACGTTCATTGAAGATGCTTTCTGTGTTTTTTTTTAGTCTTCCCTCTACCGATGCGTGATATAATTTCTGCATAACAAATGACATTCGGATGGGAGCGACTGTTAATGCAACATTTCCTATATTTTAATATGCAAAAAATTAATGCAAATTTTCGTTTGAGCAATTAAAGGAGACCCTCGAGATGACAGACACATCAGAGCGCGGTAAAGTGCAGCTGAAGTCGTTGCAGGTGCTCATATTTACACACACAAAAAAGGCAAGTCATCGTTTTGACCATGCTCACAGTTCAAGAGCTTGTTGGCAAGCTAAACTGAGCTTTCACTTTGGGATCCGAATATTCGGAGGGTAATAAGGGAGAAACAGGTGACCCAATCAAGACAAATGGCTAATAACCCATGGATGAGATTTTGTTTGCTAAGTTTTACTTCTTCTTTCTTCGGTCGACTTTTTTGGTGGTAAAAATTAACTTTCTTATCAGTTATAAATCAACTTTTAAGATTAGATTTTGGGGCTTATCTGGGGTAATTAAGTGGCCGATTTATGGTGGCAGTGCTACTTGAAATTGGTTTCAAATTAGGTTTTGCTTTGCCTTGGAATTGGTACTAGTATTAAAACCAAAGTGTATTGCAATTCAAGAAGATTTAACGGAAGTAAAAATCTTGGCCATAGAAGGGAAATAATAAATGAAGTATTATAAAACCGCGCTTAAACCGCTTTAAGCATATTGCTTAATTCAATATCAATTGCAACAGTTAACCGCATTCCTTAACGACTGGCGTATAGAACTCCCATACCATTAGCTTGCACATAAACTTAAGTGCTTGCCCACCTCGGCAATTAAGTAACTCGACTTTGAGTAACTGACCCTACCAACTGCAAACCAATGGCCCATAAATCTCTGCAAATATTATTATTAATACTTCCTGCCGGTCCGAAAATGTTTAGCAACCTGTCAGGATGCGATGGCTATAATATATTAAAATCTCGTTCCTCGTCGGTTCCTTTTTGTTTCAGTAACCTGTAATTTTCCGCTTGATTTCCTGCCTGTTTGCCAACCGCTGAATCATTGACGTCATACTGCAAGAAAAGGGTACTTCATACGATCTTGAGAGGAAGGGTGCCAAACAGGTCAAAGTCTTAGTGAGAAAACTGGAATGTCTAAACCTATTTGCATTTCCCTCTATTCTTCTATTAGTTTATAGACATTTACCAGGTTAAAGAAAATTTTCCATTGTCGGCTGGTGCACGGTCTCAGGTGGTAGAATTTCATTGGGGGAAGAAAGTGTCCGGCTTAATGACCCACTGTCAGTTCGAAATGAAGTGGAATCAGGCGCTAACGCGAGTGTTAATTATAATACAGTATGAATCCATTAACTTGCACTATCATTATTAAACGATTTAAAATTTATTTAAAGAATAAGCAATGTCAGTTTTTAGTTCAAATAACTTATAAAAGTTATTTTAAATTATGGAATTAGATTTATGGTAGCTTAAAGTTCAAGTTTTGGAAGAATTCAAAGTTACTTTTGCATTTTGACCTAAATAACTTGACCGTAAAGTCTTAATTTTTGTGTTAAGTAAATAAGATGCATAACAGA